CGAGGCACGCCCCACCCTGCGCAGCAGCTGCGGCGGATCTTGGGCTGGTGACTTCACCTCTCTGAGGCTGTTTCCTTGCCTTGAAAATGGGGTAATCGCAGCCCCTGCTCCCCACGCCCCGCAGGTGGTGCCTGGCAGACCGGGGGGTCCATCTGTGCAGGCCCGGCTCCAGCACAGGGCCAGTGTCAGGGGACCAGCATGGTGGTCACTCAGGCCTCCCCCGAGCCCCCCTTCCTGTCCCCAGAGGGCAGCTCTCACCTGCTCCGGCCTCGTCCTCCGCAGGGAGAAGACGGTGCAGGATGCCGGCCTCACCTACCAGCAGTTTAAGAACTGCAGGGACAACCTGAGCTCCTGGCTGGAGCACCTGCCCCCCAATCAGATGCGGCCGAGCGATGGGCCCAGCCAGATCGCCTACAAGCTGCAGGCGCAGAAGGTGAGGGGACCTGGGGGCAGGACAGACCCCTGCCCAGAGCTGGGGCCTCAGCCACATCCGCCTCCCTGGCAGCCTCTCCCACTGGGAGAGCCGCCTGGGGGGCCGGTGCCCTGAAGCCCTAAAGCTCAGACCACAAAGGCCTTGGGCCAGCACCGCCCCCCCACACCCCCAAAATGCTCTGCTTTGCCCCCAGAAACGGCCAGCCCGTGGCTGTCTGGCCCGAGGTGGGCGGTGGGCTCTATGCTCCTGGCATCACAACTCCTACTGCATCCTCCTCCTCCCAGGTGCCCCTCCCACGCACTGGCCATGAGCCCGGGGCTGGGGGACAGCCCGGCCTGGGCAGCTCAGGCGGCGGGAGGCGTGTGTCACAGGCCATGGTGCTGTGAGCACTTGGTGAAGCCAGTGCCCTGGGAGCCCTCGGTGGGACACGTGTGGGTCAGGGCGAGTGGTCTGGAGGCCTGAGGAATAGGCCGGGAGGGGTGAAATGTCCGAGCCGCGGCCACGGTGGGTCCGGGGAGGGAAAGGCAGTTTCCCACAGACCCCTCCTGCCCTGCCGCTGGCCTGGAGGCGCCTGGCTGGAGGGGAGTCCTGTGTGTGGTGCTACCTGACCCCCGACTCTCGCCTGTTCTGAGCAGAGGCTGCTGCAGGAGACCCAGGGCCGGGAGCGGGACAGGGCCGCGGCGTCCCGCCTCTCCCAGGACCTGCAGGAGGCGCTCCAGGTGAGTTTTCCTCCCTCCGGTGGGTCCCTCTTTCTCCACCCTCCCC